TGGCTCAGTTCAAACTAGCACCTCAAGTTTTTAATGAGAGAACTAAACCAGAACCAGACTAAACCAGGACTAAACCAGAACTAAACTATTGAAGCAGGACTAAACCAGGACTAAAGCAACAGTAAATGTCTATCAGTGCTTTTATGATCACAGTACAAACTCACAGCAGCTCTCTGCATAAAAGCAGTACCTAAAGACCACTGATTACAATACTGGACAATTTGAAAGAGTTTAAGGTTTAATCAAGTTAAACTATGTTGATGGAACTTCACACACCACATCTAAATTGGGACTAAACCAGAACTAAACCTGGACTAAGCCTGACTTGGACTAAACTAAGGCAGGACCAACTCAAGTCTAAATCAGGACTAAACTGTGCTCAAGTCAGGACCTAATTTAATCTATTGTACAAGTGATGGGCTTTTCTTCCTTATTCTCACTCCTTATTGGCCTTTTGTTCCCTGATTGGCTGGTTCTTGCTCAGCGTTCAGTTCTTCTTGCTGCTGATTGGCCGGCTCTTGCCCCTGATTGAGTGGTTCTCGCTCTTCATTGGCCGGCTCTTGCCCCTGATTGAGTGGTTCTCGCTCTTCATTGGCCGACTCTTGCCCCTGATTGAGTGGTTCTCGCTCTTCATTGGCCGGCTCTTGCCCCTGATTGAGTGGTTCTCGCTCTTCATTGGCCGACTCTTGCCCCTGATTGAGTGGTTCTCGCTCTTCATTGGCCGACTCTTGCCCCTGATTGAGTGGTTCTCGCTCTTCATTGGCCGACTCTTGCCCCTGATTGAGTGGTTCTCGCTCTTCATTGGCCGACTCTTGCCCCTGATTGAGTGGTTCTCGCTCTTCATTGGCCGACTCTTGCCCCTGATTGTCTCGTTGACTGAGTTCTTGCATAGTCATGCTTTGCTCCTGATTGGCTGGTGTTAGGAGATAAGACTCTGGTTAGATTTTTGTCATTAAAAATAAAGGTTTTTGCAAATTACAGTTTTTATGTTCCAGTACTCTCTCACCTTGATTACGTCGCTTAATGTAACGGATTAGAAACACCAGTGCAGCAGCAACAACAACAACAGCAACAGCAACAGCAATCCCAGCAATCTCACCATCTGAAAGGACATCTAGAGGAAAATGAAGACAAAAATGAAATTCACTACAGATTTTATCTACTTCACTCATTTACTACAGGGTACAAAGAGTTAAACTAGGACTAAACCAGGTCTGAACTGGGACTAAATCAGTACTGAACCAAGGATATATCAGAACTAAACCAGGTCCACCAAGACTGAATCTGTCTGATCAGAACAGCTGCAATGTGGCAAAAATTAGGAATTATAATTAAAAAATTCTTAAATCTGTTTGAAAATGTAGTAGAACTTTACTGCAAGTTTAAAAGAAATACTTTTTGGTGGTGAGGTGGTTGGGGTAGATGTTGTTACACCTGAAAAAAGAAGATTAGCCCACATGATTATTACGTCCCAGTATTTATAGTTGATAAATGTCAGTTTTCAATATAATAATGTAATTCACATTATATTATCTAATCATTGAACTGGTGCTTTCTGTATTTCATAAAACTATCCATGTTATGAAGTGGGAGAGGAAGTTTAGGCAGGTAGTAGATCTGAACATCCACACAAAACTCCACACCCAAAGCTCCAGGTGACTGGCCAATTGAACCCAGAACCTTCCTGCTGTGAGGGAAGAGTGTTAATAATAATAATAATAATAATAATAATAATAATAATAATAAATAATACAAATTACACTATTTTGTGTTTAAGTTTCACAACTAAAGAACATTTTATCTTATGACTCATGATTATTAAACATAGGCCTATTGGAGTGTATATTATGAATGTTAAAAACATCTAGAACAGACCAAACAGCGTTGTTGTTCATCTTATAATAACGTAATCATTATTTTTCTAAATTAATAGTTTACTTTTTTGATAAGGCCAACAGTAAATTTTAGCATTTTGACTAGAAAATATCATTGTCAATATATATAAATGTATTTATTTATTTTTTTCATGTTCATAGTCAGATTTCAGATTTTTACGTTGTTTTTTTCCCAGGTCAAATAATAATAACAATAATGATGCATCAGTTTTATATAGCACTTTTCTGGACACTCAAAGACACGTTACAGAGCATTATTCATTCACTCCACACCCAGTGGTGGTAAGATACTTTTGTAGCCACAACTGCCCTGGGGCAGGCTGACGAAAGCAAGGCTGCCAATCTACGCCATCAGCCCCTCTGACCACCACCAACTCTCATGCACACACCACATTCACACTGGGCAATGTGGGTGAAGTGCCTTGCCTATGGGCACATCAGCAGTTTTTGCAACTGATGTCCCCACTGTGGCACCTGATTTTCCCAGTGGTTTGAGTTTGAGGTGGCGCTACCGAGTCGTATTTTTTTGGTTTTTTTTTTCAAGACTTCTGTTCAAAATTACAGCTCTAAGTTTTACTTTTTGAAATCGGTCACTAACATGTCTGGGCTTGATTACTACTTCATTTTTGCAATGTTCGGTAGTCCGGATACGTTTTTAATTTAAATACAAAATGTCAACTGTATGTAAATGAAACTCATTTCCCTTCTCAAAATTTCTATAGTGGCGCATCTCTCATCTGTGGGTGTGCGTGTGTATGTGTGTGCGCGTGGGTGCGTGTGTGTGTGTGCAGTGGGATTTTTACCTTGTTCCTGTGGTGAACGCTTAGACTTCACTGTGGAATGAGCACAAATCATTAGTCTCTGAATGCTAACAAAGCCCCAGAACAGAAAACATTGAAAACACTGTGAAAATACTATGAAAATACTGTGAAAATACTATGAAAACACTGTGAAAATACTATGAAAACACTGTGAAAATACTATGAAAACAAAGTGAAAATACTATGTGAATATTATGAAAACACAGTGAAAAATACTATGAAAATACTATGAAAATACTGTGAAAATACTATGAAAACACTGTGAAAATACTATGAAAATACTATGAAAACACAGTGAAAAATACTATGAAAATACTATGAAAACACTGAAAATACTATGAAAACAAAGTGAAAATACTATGTGAATATTATGAAAACACAGTGAAAAATACTATGAAAATACTATGAAAACACTGTGAAAATACTATGAAAATTTTATGAAAATACTGTGAAAATACTATGAAAACACTGTGAAAATACTATGAAAATACTATGAAAACACAGTGAAAAATACTATGAAAATACTATGAAAACACTGTGAAAATACTATGAAAATACTATGAAAATACTGTGAAAATACTATGAAAACACTGTGAAAATACTATGAAAATACTATGAAAACACAGTGAAAGTACTGTGAAAATACTATGAAAATACTATGAAAATACTATGAAAATACTACTATGAAAATACTGAAAATGAAAATACTGTGAAAATACTGTGAAAATACTATGAAAATACTGTGAAAATACTATGAAAATACTGTGAAAATAACTGTGAAAATACTATGAAAATACTGTGAAAATACTATGAAAATACTGTGAAAATACTATGAAAATACTGAAAATACTATGAAAATACTATGAAAACACTGTGAAAATACTATGAAAACACTGTGAAAATACTGAAAATGAAAATACTATGAAAATACTAAAAATACTGAAAATACTATGAAAATACTGTGAAAATACTGAAAATGAAAATACTATGAAAATACTATGAAAATGAAAATGACTATGAAAATGAAAATACTATGAAAATGAAAATACTATGAAAATACTATGAAAATAAAACTATGAAAATGAAAACTAAAATACTGAAAACACTGAAAATACTAAAATACTATGAAAACTACTGTGAAAATACTATGAAAATGAAAACACTGAAAATAGAGAAAACGAAAATACTATGAAAACTGAAAATGAAAAACTTATGGTCTGACTTACCAGTAAGTCTGACAGAACTTTCTTTCCAGGTACCCTTGATTTGCACTGAACATTTATACGTCCCACTATCATTTAGCATTACATTGTAGATTTGAACTAAAATGTTTCCATTTTTCAAACTATCATTTAGCATTTTTGTCCGGCCTCGGAAATCTGCGTCTTGTTCATCTGGATAGTCGTTCCCATTTCTATAAACATGCACAGTTTTATTGTCCCCTTCTTTTACTACACGACACCACTCTACATAATCCTCTTTCGTGATTGGTCCCTCCGGCTCCACGTGGCAGTGCAAGGTGGCATTACTGTTGAGTTCAGCCTCAACATCTTTACACTCCAGTTCGAAAGCTGTGGAAGGAGGAAAAACCTGTTAAATATGGCCCTCATTTTAAATTGGCAGTCTAAACCAGGACTAAACCAAGACTAAACCAGATCTAAACCAGGACTAAACCAAGACTAAACCAGGGACTAAACCAAGACTAAACCAGGACTAAACCAATAAACCAGACTAAACCAGACTAAACCAGGACTAAACCAGGACTACTAAACCAGATCTAAACCAGATCTAAACCAGGACTAAACCAAGACTAAACCAAACCAGATCTAAACCAGGACTAAACCAAGACTAAACCAGATAAACCAGATCTAAACCAGGACTAAACCAAGACTAAACCAGATCTAAACCAGGACTAAACCAAGACTAAACCAGATCTAAACTAAACCAAAAACCAGACTAAACCAGATCTAAACCAGGACTAAACCAAGACTAAACTAAACCAGGACTAAACCAGGTCTAAACCAGACTAAACCAGATCTAAACCAGACTAAACCAGGACTAAACCAGACTAAACCAAGATAAACCAGATAAACCAGGACTAAACCAAGACTAAACCAGATCTAAACCAGGACTAAACCAAGACTAAACCAGATCTAAACCAGGACTAAACCAAGACTAAACCAGATAAACCAGATAAACCAGGACTAAACCAAGACTAAACCAGATCTAAACCAGGACTAAACCAAGACTAAACCAGACTGACTAAACCAGAGACTAAACCAGGAAAACCAAGACTAAACTAAACCAGGACTAAACCAGGACTAAACCTAAACCAGATCTAAACCAGATCTAAACCAGGACTAAACCAAGACTAAACCAGATCTAAACCAGGACTAAATCAGGACTAAACCAGGTCTAAACCAAGACTAAACCAGATCTAAACCAGGACTAAATCAGGACTAAACCAGGTCTAAACCAAAACTAAACCAGATCTAAACCAGAAAACTAAACCAGATCTAAATCAGAAACTAAACCAGGACTAAACCAAGACTAAACCAGATCTAAACCAAGACTAAACCAGATCTAAACCAGAACTAAACCAGGACTAAATCAGGAAAAAGCAGGACTAAACCAGATCTAAACCAAGACTAAACCAGATCTAAATCAGAACTAAACCAGGACTAAACCAGATCTAAACCAGGACTAAACCAAGACTAAACCAGATCTAAACCAGGACTAAACCAGGCCTAAACCAGATCTAAACCAGGACTAAACCAGATCTAAACCAAGACTAAGCCAGATCTAAACCAGGACTAAATCAGGACTAAACCAGATCTAAACCAAGATTAAACCAGATCTAAACCAGAACTAAACCAGGACTAAACCAGATCTAAACCAGATAAAACCAAGAAACCAAAAAGATCTAAACCAGGACTAAATCAGGACTAAAAAGAAGGACTAAATCAGGATTAAACCAGGACTAGAACCAGGACTAAACCAGGACTAAACCAGGACTAAACCAGATCTAAAACCAGAAAACCAAGACTAAACCAGATCTAAACCAAAACTAAACCAGGACTTAAAGCAGGACTAAAAGCAGGACTAAACCAGGACTAACCAGGACTAAAACTAGGACTAAACCAGGACTAAACCAGAATAAAACCAGAACTAAACCAAGACTAAACCAAGACTAAACCAAGATCTAAAGCAGGACTAAACCAGGACTAATCCAGGACCAAACCAGATCTAAACCAAGACTAAACCAAGACTAAACCAAGATCTAAACCAGAACTAAACCAGGACTAAATCAGGAAAAAGCAGGACTAAACCAGGGCTGAACCAGGACTTAACCAAGACTAGACCAGGACTAAACCAGAACTAAACCAGATCTAAACCAGGATTAAATCAGGAAAAAGCAGGACTAAAGCAGGATTAAACCAGGACTAAACCAGGACTAGACCAGGACTAAACCAGATCTAAACCAGGACTAAACCAGATCTAAACCAGGACTAAACCAGAAAACTAAAACCAGGACTAAACCAGAAAACCAGATCTAAACCAGGACTAAACCAGAACTAAACCAGAACTAAACAAATAAGCAGAAGACAGAAATAATTCTTTTTGATCATTCATTTTCATTTGATCATCTTGATCTGTTGATAAACTGTGACAGTGCCATAGGTCCTCTTAGCTCCTATGAAAAAGCATTTTCTAGAAACCTTGGTGTAATTTTTGACTGCAATTTTAAATTTGAAAAGCAAGTAAACTCTGTTCTTAAATCAAGTTTTTATCAGTTACAGATTTTAAGTAAAATTAAACCAAACATCCCACGCCTGCATTTTGAAAAGACCATTCATGCATTTGTGACCTCGCGGCTTGACTACTGTAACTCTTTGTCTGCTGGCATTGACCAGGCCCAGCTCAGCCGCCTGCAGGGGGTCCAAAATGCAGCAGCTCTCCTTTTAACTGGAAAGAAGCGGAGGGACCACATCACTCCTATTCTTAAATCCTTGCATTGGCTCCCCGTACATTTTAGAATCCATTTAAAAATGTTAATGATTGTTTTTAACAGTTCATGGAATGGCACCTTCCTATTTATTTGAACTCCTTCAGCCACATGTCCCATCCAGAGGTCTGCACTCTGCAGACCAGCACCTTCTGGTTGTCCCCAGGACCAGGCTGAGGACCAGAAGCAATAGTGCCTTCTCTGTGGTCATTCCAGGACTGTAGAACACTTTGCCATTGCTTAAGTTGAAGTTTTTAAAATACACTGTGTATGTCTATTTAAACTTTCTTTCACATGTGTTAAATATATTTCTACATGACTACAGAATATTTATCAAATATTATGAAAGCACTACGAGAGTAGCCTAGTTGTGTCTATTTTAAATACTTTTACAATTAGTGCATTCTGTGTTAAGAATATACTATTTCAAATTATATTAAAACATATAGTATAAAATACACTACAGTACACTACAGTACAATTTATGAAGTATATGTATTTAATTTCTGAATTTCATTATACTATTGTATAATGACAATAAAGGCTTTCTATTCTCTTCTATATTCTTGAAGTAGATTCACCAAAAGCATTTTTTTTTTTTTTTTTTAAATACACCATTAGTATTTTTGTACAAAATAAAAAATTTCAATTGTACTTTCAGACCACAACTTACAGTAACAGTACTGTACTTTATAAAATAGACTTAAAAGGTGATATGGAAAATTCTGTTTCATATATATATATATATATATATATATATATATTATATATAATATACATATATATATATAAGTATTAACGCCGACAATTATTTTAACGCCGTTATATTATATATTTATTTACGTCTGTTTCTCATATTTTGATAGCGTTCTTTAAGTTTGACGTCTTTTCTTTACACTTTTTTCTCTTTGTTCTGACCGGCCGCGGGTTCAGCCGCGGGCTCCGGCTCCGGCCCGACCAGCCGTGCGCTCTGAGCTGAGCTTATTTCTTGAGTTCATGGAGTAACTGATTTACCAGATACCATTGGAAGAAAAATTGATTGGTCCATTTCCATTCCATTATATTAACGCTTTGTTTCCTAAGAAATATCAGTCCAAGTTTATAACACTGATCTAAAAATTATTACTAGTGTTGTTCATTACTCACGGCATAAAAAATATTCAATAAATATATTAGTAGTACAAACGTCGATTCATATTTTTTTTTCTTGAGCTTCCCTGAATACCTTGAAGGCTCTGAGGTTCCCCTGTGAAAGAAATGCTGTTTTGAACAACAAATGTGTGGCTCTTTCAGTTACATTTTCAATAAAAGTGCACTATACTCTACTTTTTAATTCATTAATTGGTTTTGCATATAACATCACGATTAATCGCTCAAACTCATGCGATTAATTGTGATTACATTTTTTTTATTTTTGCCCAGCCTAATATATATATATATATATATATATATATATATATATATAGTCACCTATTCTGTAGATATAAGGTTTAATCCTGGTTATAACCTTATTTAGACCATGTTGGTTTAATGTTGGTTTATTATTTTTCTCTCACATAAATGTGGCTATTTGATGCACTGTAATAAAGCTGTTTTACAGCACAAACCATTGTATGGAAGATAATATGTTTCACCAGATTATCAATTTTATTATTTTTATTCAGAATTTTTGTTGCTGAAATTTTAAGTGTACATGTAAAAAAAAAAAAAAAAAATCCAAGATGCTAAGGCCTACCTAAGCATGAAATGGTGCAGTGAAGTGATCTGATTGGTCAGAATTAGCCTGATCAAAACCTCATGGTGTAAGTGTGCGTTTGGAGGAGTCTGGACCAACTTCACGGAGGTCACCTATATGCTCCCCCATCGAGTTTTGCTCCCCCTTGCATATTTCTACAGTATAAACCGAATTATGCATCTCTTCTCAAGAAGCACTCATGATTGTTAACATAGGCATAATGCTGGGTTTCAGATGGCATCACACCATATAGGCTACTAATAATTTATACAGATGTCAATGTCATAAGTTATAGAAATGTGTGTTGTGTTATTGAGCATGCGCAGTAGTACCTAAAACTTTTCTGCGAACTCCACTTTGAAGAAGCCTGAGTTCATAACCTCATAGCAAGTTAAGACCTATAGAATGTTTAAAGGTTCTTTTGTATCGGTTAGTTAGTTTCTCAGACATATGAAACGCCGCTGGCTAGCGACTATTCTCCACTCTTCTCAAATAAAACGGTAAGCTTAATAAAAAGAATAGATAAAGACTTACTGTGCCCCGTGGTCACGATGACAGGCAACACCGCGAGGAAACATATGAGTGGAAAAGTGCTCATTATCGTTTAATATTGTCCGCCAAACGACGCAACGAGTACCCTCGAAAAATCTCTACTGTCTGTCCCAGAATACTTTCGCTTTTCCTTTTCGATGCCTTTATTTCCTTATTACTAGTAGTAGAATAGATATGGACAGTCAATACATACACTAAACCAGCATTTTAAGGCTATGTATGGTAGACTATTTACTCATTAAAAACAACAACAACAACAAAAAGAACATAAAAATATATAAAGATAAAATATATTAAATATGTGTGGATTATCGTGAAACTTGAGCCACCGCTATTGTTAAACCACATGTGCCATCTAGTGGCCATCTAGGTACTGATTTGCTGTCACATTTTTTGTCAGTGTAGGCTAGGTAAAGTTCGTAGGCATTGGTGTCTTTTAGGCAAAGTGTAACAGATGGGTTTTGTTTTGCTATATTTGATTGCACATTGAATGAGAAAGGCTACTTTTGTAAGCTTATTAAGTAAGTAAGTAAGTTTATAATAGATCTCCTCTTATGATTATTGTGAGGAAAAACACCATGATTTTAGACTGAGACTTTTTATGATTTATTTATTTGTAAAGTTACATCACATTAAAATGTAAATATGTAAAGATTATAACCAGTGTGGCTAATTTCCATCTTCACTCCCACAAAAGTACAGAACACCAGTGCCACTCACTATACACACAACACACTCACTGTACACACAACACACTCACTATACACACAACACACTCACTGTACACACAAACACACTACACACAACACACTCACTGTACACACAACACACTCACTGTACACACAACACACTCACTGTACACACAACACACTCACTACACACAACACACTCACTGTACACAACAACACACACACAACACACTCACACTCACTGTACACACAACACACTCACTATACACACAACACACTCACTGTACACACACTATACATTTGAAGTTCGAAGTCAAGAGCCTCAATATAAAACATTTAATTTGGTTAAACATGGTGACATATTTCACCACTCAACAACCACTGTTTTAAAGCTGTAGAAAATGCTGCAGTGTTGAAAGATCTTGTAAATGAGCAGGCTCTGTATTTGATGTTTGAGGTGCTCAAAGAGAGATGTCGAAAGTACTTTTCCTAAGCGGCACAGAGCAGTCACCTCTTGTCTGGTTTGAAGTTCTTTTTCACACATAAAAGGAGGTGGAGCAAAATTATTAAAAACTTTGTTTACCAAAAATCTGCAAATTTGATTGTGTTGTCCCAGTTAAGAAAGTACAATCAAATGCAGTTGTTGGTGCTCTCATTTTTTAAATTTATGTACTTTTTTTTTTACATAAAAAAAAAATGCTGGCACCGATGAAAGAACATCAATTGTTCTTTTTTGTAGTCTAGATAGAGTGTAGTACAGAGGATAGAATAGAATACCTGATGTAGGAGCCATGCAAAGGTTTTTTTATTGACAAATCTCACGAAACGCAGAAGTAGAGCGGAAATAAAGTAGCCCTGCCATTACCGCGGTGCTTTGCTGCTAAGGAAGTAGCAGAAGTAGTAGTGTGTTGGTCCCAAGGTAGTTGCTCAGATGTTAACCAAAGTCCTTATATTTCCACGTTGTGGTAAGAGTTCACTACCTACAACACACCCTTCAATGTGATGAGCTCCTCTCCAATGGCATGCATCTGGCCATTCCACCTGGACCACAGTTTACTTTTACCACAGTCTGGTTTTGGAATGTGTAACTTAGTAAACTTAATGAACTGGCCAATCAGGAACCAGACCAGAATCAGATCAGACCTGAGACTCGACTCTGCACAATCTACACTTTGTATATTTGATATTATATGGAAGCATGTGCATTACACTTGATACATTTAGGCTCGTCTATGAAATCCAAATAATACAAGATCTTACCAAATAAAAACGAGATCACAGAAGCCCCACAACCTCTCTCTCCCGCCGCCCCCACATCCACAAATCCACCGCAGAGAGCACACCGCAAACAGGAGCGGGCACCGCAACATCGGTCCCACCACTCAATAGATGCTTCATGCCACTTTTCTCACCCTCGCCAAAAGCGCCACATCCATTGCGCAACATGCAAACAAACAGCACGGTGCGATGACGTCATCGGGCCATAGAACCTCAGGTAACAGTGCCCAAGCACGGCACGGCCCAAAAGTCCCAGCGTAAGTGTGCCTCTAGAACAGCAGGCGCTGGGACAGTCACGGTGACCGGACGTCCCTGAGCAAATCCTGCACCTCAGTTTAAAAAAAACAAAAACAAACTGCTGTGTGTCCTGTGTGCGCTGTGTGTTTTATACGTATATTATTTATCCGATACCTGATCGGAACATAATGTCCGAGTCCAGATCAAGTACACAGTCACGTGATCGGCGCCGATTTCCGATCACGTGATCTGATCAGAACAACCCCAGTGTTAGCAGTCACCTCCAGTCTGTCTCTCTAAAACTTTTATATCAGGCAAGAAATCTAGGGATAATAATGGACTCAAACTTGAACTTTAACAGCCACATCAAATCAACAACATATGCAGGCTTTTACCATCTAAAAAACAACAAAAATCAAAGGTTTACTGTCTAAAGCAGACTTGGAGAGACTTATCCATGCGTTTGTCTCCAGTAGGTTAGACTACTGTAATGGTCTGCACAATGGCCTCTGTGCTGAGCTGTCAGATGCTGCAGTACATCCAGAACGCTGCATCTTAGGTCCTTACTCGAACTAGGAACTATGAGCACATAAGTCCTGTGCACAGGTCTCTGCACTGGCTTCCTGTGGCTCAGAAAATAGACTTTAAAGTGGCTCTGCTTGTGTACAAGTCTCTCCATGGCCGAGCACCAAAGTACATCTGTGACATGTTAGTGTCATATGAACCATCTCGCACTCTGAGGAGCTCAGGGACCAGCCTCCTGTTGGTGCCCAGAGTCACGACTAAATATGGGGAGTCATAGTTTCAGATTCATGCAACTAAAACCTGGAACAGTCTTCCTGAACATGTGAGACAGACTCTTCTGTGACGCTGTTTAAATCCAGACTCGGAACTGTTCTGTTTAACCGTGCATATGACTGAAAGGTTTTCATTCCGCCCTCTTCTCTCTAATTTATGTAATTAATATCACTCTCTCTTTTTAAATTTTAATCTTTAATTTTATGATGATAATTTATGTTTTGATTTGTTTTTATTGTGATTATTAATGTATTTCTTATTCTGTAAAACACTTTGAATTACTTTGTGTACGAATTGTGCTATACAAATAAACTTGCCTTGCCTAGGCCGCTGGCAGGTCACAGTCCGCACACATGCAGTAATGGCAGCAGGCAAGATGGCGATGCCTGTAGATTTCACATAGGATTGGTCTATAGTTTCTCCTGTGTGTCTCTGTGAACATGCTTTATTCCTGTGCACTATACTGTGGTGTCTGAGGGTGGCATGCTGTGTGTGGTGTGGCCTATATGGGAGCGCACTCACCTGCTGAGTGTGTGGCCTTGGATAATGGCAGCAGGGTGAGCATGGGGAACAACTTCCTGTTGACTGTATTTTAACAGGAAAGATTTGCACACAGAAGCAATTGGTGCATGGCTACTGACCTCAGCAGTTTTAAAATAAGTGCTCGTACATGTATACCTATTATCTCAAGCAGGATATGTGCATTTGTTCCGTGTTTCGCGGTCACAGTGTTTTCCTCCATGTCTGTTGCAAAGTGTGGAATAAGCTTTTGGATTCATACGCTGCAATACCTCATTATCATCTTTGCCTGTAACATATATATGATCTTTATTTATCCTTTTTTTAAATGCACTTTCAAACTGTCAAATTAATTCATAACTGGCCACTGTGTTTCTATGGATGACAAAGCTTTTTTTTTATTGTTCACATGCAGCCTTACTCAAAGGTAAATATACAATCTTGATTTTTTTTTACACTCTGCAAAACCCCTCCAACACAGCAATCGCTGCTGAAGCAGGTGCATGTTGGCTGAGTGGCAAGCACTCTCACCTCACAGCAAGAAGGTTCCAGATTTAACTCCCAGTGTTTCTTAGGGACTCCAGTTTCCTCCACCAACCCAAAACATGCACAGAAGGTCAAATCCCTGAGGTAGTCCTGACCAAGACTAGCTCAAGATCTGGAGATGGGTCCCACTGTTACTGATCGACCCAGAAACAGTGAAGGATGGGTCAAATGTAATAGAGTTGTTTACCTACAGAACCATTCTGCTGTGAGGAGAGAGTGCTTGATATTATGACGAAGTAGGTGAAGTGCTTTGCCCATGGGCACAGCAGCAGTGGGTGCAGATGCTGTAGTTTGTGTTGTGTTTTGTTTTTGTGGTTTATGGTGTGAAGTTCATTGGTCTGGTTAGCATGTATCAGCGTCAGTTAACAGGCACATGGTTTCCTGTTCAGGTGAAATAAGAATGTGACTAAACTTTTATGTTCAGTTTCATACGACGAGGATGGCAGCAGCTTTAATCTGCGCAGTGACTGGTAATAAGACTTTTTCTATTTTTATTAACTCTATTTTATATTTCTTTAAATGATGGCTATACTTCTCTCATTAAAACCAGTTGGGTATAATTATGTTTTCTCATAACATGAATTCAGAATTTTAATTATGATTTATGTGGGTTAGATTTCCTCACATTTTTGGACTTAACAAACTTTTCACCTTTTTTCACCAATTTTTCCACACATATGGAATGTAGCAAACAAAAATAAACTCAAAATCACTCAAAACTTGCTTGGGTGGACACTTTGAGGATTCTAATATAAAATATTTAAAAATATTTTGTCCAGTTATTTCACTTTTTTCATGTCTTGCTTCATGTATTTATATGTCCTCTGTGCATATTTAAAATGTAGAAAGCGGTAAACATAAAAAAAAAAAAAAAAAAACATTGAATAAGGAGGTTTCACTGGTGGTGTATATTTAGTGTTCAGAGTATCACCAGCTCTAAACCAGCTCTAAAACAGGACCACATCACAGTTATAGAAGATCTAAACAAGAACAAACCTAAAGGACGAGTTCATCAGTGGGACATGAACCAGTGTTTGAGAACCACTGGACTAGTCCA